ACAGCGAGCCGGGGTTGGATGTGTGGGTGGAGCGAGCCGGGGAAAGGGAGGTGGAGCGAGCCGGAGAAGAGGCTTGTAAAGGCTGGTGTCAGGCGGGAAGGCAAAGCGGCGGCACCAATCGAGAGACAAGGAAGAGCCTTTCCTTCTCTCTCTTTCCTTTGAAAAAAGAAGAATACGGGTTGTTGGTTGTTTTTTTTTCAAGAAGTGGGGCGATCAACCCCGAGGTGGGGAAAGTAAAAAAAAACCACTGGTCAGATTGATTGCTCGGGAGAGGAAGGCGCGCAGGCACGCACACCCGCGCCCGGAGAGGAGGAAAGGCTTGGCTGGGGCTTGGCCCGGGTCTCTCGCTCCTCTCTCTCATCGCCGGGGGAAAAAACACGGGCTCATTTCAGCGCCAAGAAATCACCCGGGCAGAGGACCCCGGCCCCGCTTTCCCAAACAGCCGCGATTTGAGCACCCCTGGTTCGGATGGACCCTTTCGTGCCGTTGCATCTGACCTGTGGCGGAGAGAGGGAAGTGCAGCAAGAAAAGGAGGACGCGGGGTTGAAATTGGAAGCCTTCACCTGTTTTTGATGCCATCGCTCAGATTACGTAAAAAGTCACAATGTTACGGTCCCTCAAGAAATACCGTTCTCAGCACGGCTCTTCAATAACATATGCCCTAATTCCCCCCACCTCCCCGCCTACCGGCCGCCATTCCCAATGGTTACAAGTCCTACTTGTACCTGATCGTTTACGAGGCTGGTGGGGCAGAGGGGAATTAAAAGTCCAGAAATGTAGAGGCCATTGTGTTAGGGAAAGATTTGGCTTTATTTGCCAATCAAAGGAAGTGAATTTGTAGCTTCAGTGTGAAGATTCCACTCTTGTTATTTTTTGCTGCATCTGTGTTCTCCCCTCCTGAAGCCATAGTTTTTTGAACGGTGAAGTATAAACTGCATGAAACAAGAATTTGCCTTTTTTTTCTTTTCTTTTTCTTTCTTTCTTTCTTTCTTTCTTTGTTCTTGTGGCTCACTGATGCACTATGCATATTGATATCCTAGTTAAATGAATTACAGTATTATGATAAATTATCCAGTAAAGTGGGATTTGGAATGAGGAATTTGCAAGACAGATACTGTAATGTGCTTCCAGGCCTCCACCTATTATTATTTTAGAAATCAGATAACGAAGATGATTTATTACTGGACAGCAGTCTGAACCCCCCCTCAAAACATTCTGAAACATGAAACACCAAATATCAAATGTCCAATTTTTTTACAAAAATCATTAAGATGTCACAAGTACATGCATTTTTCTTTTCAACATCATGTGGGCAAAATTATTTTCAGTCAATACCTGGCAGAACATTTATTCTTAAATATATCTGACCTGAATTATTTCATGCTAAGTGCACATGTAGTAGGTACATTTCACAGTTAGGCATACATTTGTTGAATGTAAACAACCAAAATTTACAACAATTAAGTAATGTACAAATTGACATTAAAAGCGTACAGAATGAACAATTAATATGCATTTGTGGTTGTCAATATTGGTTTTTTCCCCTAGTCTCATGTAGAACAGCAACCTGAGTTACAATCTTGTATATGTTATGTGCTGGCTATATATAGGATCCATAATAGGGTTTTTGTTGTTGTTTTAATATTATTTTATTCATACATACCCAACATACAAAACAAAAACCACTAAAAACTTACAAAAATAACAAAAACCATCAAAACTAAATACCCATACTAGCATAATAGGGTTTTCAAGTGAGATGTTTAAAGTGAGTTTCTATAATCAAACAGGGATTTTAATTCAGTATATCACTCTATCCACTACAACACACTGGCTCTCAATGGTATATACTGTATACCTAACTAGAAGCTGTTGTTTACATGCTGTCAAGTCACCTCCAATTTATGGCAACTTCATGAATTAGCAATATCCAAAATGTCCTGTCCTCAACAGCCCTGCTCAGCTCTTGTAAACGTGAGACAATGACTTCCTTTAGGGAATCCATCTATCTTGTATTTGGACTTCCTATTTCCTTGTTGCCTTCAACCTTTCTCAGCTGTGAACAGGAAGATAAAAGAGACGAAGAGAGTGAGCCGTCCCCTCATACATCTGTAGAGAAGCAAAAGGATAGAGAGGCAAGAAAGGAAGAGATAGGGAAAGTAATAGAAAGGATGAAGGAGTTAAAGGCGGGAAAAGAGGGGAGGAGTCAGAGAGAAGGAGAAGAAGGGATATAGATGTCTTAGCATTGGAGGGGGAAGAAAGATCAGGAGAGAAAAAAAATAGTTGTGTTGGAAAACGAATGACAGGAGGTAGAAGGAGAAACCAGAGTGTTTAAGATACCACAGAAGGAAGGATTAGGCTGTGAAAGTCGGGAACGCAAAGAAGTGGATATAAAAAGGGAAGAAGCGAAACCAATCATAGAAGGACTAGGACTGGAGGAATAGATGGTCTTAGTGTACCCTCGAGGATGGGGTCCTTGGAAGAAGGTGATCCGATCAGCCGAGCGAGAAGCCGCCTGAAGGTCTCATCATATTGCAGGATGATATGTGCAGCAAGGAGCCAACGAACCAGGAGCGATTTGGTCAATTTCTGTTAAAGAAAAACAGTTACAATTAAACATTGCCCTTGTCATGGGCAGATTTTCTTCTTAGTGTTGAACATGTTGATCCCATTGAAGTAATAGAGAAACCACCAAGTTTTGTTAATACAGTGGTGCCTCGACTTACAACCACAGTCTCTTCCAGAAGATGGACATACAGTAACTCAAAATGGTTGTAAGTCGAAGCACCATTTCCCATAGGAATGCATTGAAATGCAATTAATCCGTTCCAGCCGGAAAAAAAACCCATACACACACAAAGTCACTGCAAGACTCATTGGAAACGCAATTAATCCCTTCCAGCCAAAGGGGGGGAGAGAAAAGCAATCAAGTGTGCAAGATCCATTGGAAATGCACAGAAAACAAACAGAGCAGATCGGAAACACACAGAGAACAAAGGACAGGTTGGAAATGCAAAGAAAACAAAGGAAAAAGCAAGGACCCATCAGAAATGGGGGAAAAATCCCCAAATGGGGGGGGGGAGTGAAAAAAGAAGATCTTATCGAGAAGATACGGGAAATAGCGGAAATGGACATTTTATCAGAAGTAATGAAGGACTGTCCTTTACAAAAGGCAACAGAAAGATGGGACTTATTCTAGAAGTGGACTAAATCAACAGGCAACGTATGAATAGCATATATTGAAATGAGAACTTAAACCTAGAAGGCAGAAAAGAGTAAATAGAATAACATGGAATTTTGATATGGCAATAGGTATAGAATGGATGTTAGTATGTGATTGTTTCTCTTTTCCCCCTTTAACCTCAACTCCCCTTTTCCTTTCTGTCACCCCTCTTGTTAAAAAAAATAAATTTAAAAAAGGAAATGGGGGGAAGCCAAAAAAACAACAACAACAAACCCCACAAGACCCATCAGAAATGGGGGGGGGACAAAAAGCAACCATACCCCCCAACACCCATAGGAAATGGAGGAAAAACACTCCAAAAAGCAACCAAACCCCCCCAAGACCCATCGGAAATGGAGAGGAACCAAAAAAACAACTGCCCCCAGGACCCAGCACAGCACAGAAACATAACTCCCCCAGCCCAAAACCACATTGCAAAAACATCCAGAACATTTTTTAAAAAGCAGAAAACAGCACCTTACCTTACCAGGCAGCCTTCTCCAATCACAGACGCTAACTGCTGGGGTGAAAGAGCTACAAAGAAGCAGCCTTGTCGCCACCTGCAGTTAGAAATTTGAATTTCACGCCTTTTCCCCCTGCCTTTTTCTGTTTGTAAGTGGAAGCTCTGGTTTCAAGTAGAAGCAACGTTTTGCAGCCGGAGCTGGTCGTAACTCAAAATGGTTGTGAGTAGGGACATTCATAAGTCAAGGCACCACTGTAAAGAGTTTGCATTTAAAGAACCCTCCCTCTTGCTGTTTCCTGCCAAAAACAAGGAGCTGTCAGACACCAGAACCAGATCACACCAGCATCATTCTGTTTTCCAGAGAATCTTACATTTTCATGATGTGCCCAAAGTAGGACATCCTGAGTTTCATCATTTTTGCTTCCAGAGATAGTTCAGACTTGATTTGCTCTAGGACACCCCCCCCCTTTTTTTTGTCTTTCAGGCAATCCAAAATATCCAAAAAGCTCTCCTTCAGCACCACATTTTAAATTAATCATTTTTTTTCCTGTCAGCATCATTTACTGACAGTTTTCACACCCATACATAGTGATCAGTGTGGATGATCTTAATTTCCATTAGCACAACCTTATAGTTGATTATTTTTTTCTAATTCCTTAACTGCTGCCCTTCCAAGTCTCATCTTTTGATTCCTGGCTTCAGGAATCTCCATTTGGATTGATAATTGAACCAAGGTTTACAAAATCTTCAAGAATTTCAGTTTCTTCGCTGTCAACATTCAAATTGTGTCATTTTCAAGGCATTGCTGTTTTCTGCTGGTACATTAGAAGTAGCCTCCACAAATACATAGTGAGCTGATGTACATATCATTGCATTGTTAATCTCTGTCCATTTTAAATCATTTTAATTAACTTTTGTTACTGGCTAGGCACAAGGTTGCTACTGTGTTTTCCCGAAAATAAGACAGGGTCTTATATTAATTTTTGCTCCAAAAATGCATTAGGGCTTATTTTCAGGGGATGTCTTATTTCACAGTCATGTCATCTTCTTCTGGTTGCTGCACAATGCTGCACAAGGGTGGAGAGCGAGGTTTCACTTAACTAGGGCTTATTTTGGGGGTAGGGCTTGTAATACGAGCATCCTGAAAAAGCATACTAGGGCTTATTTTCAGGTTAGGTCTTATTTTCGGGGAAATGGTAACATAAAAAACTAGTAA